ACGCTCTTCCGTGGATTAGTCCTGGATATCCAGGGATACCACGTAAACTCCGTGTCTGTGTTTGTTCTTCTATTTCGTACTGTTCGTGATCTGTTTCTGTTTAATTAACAAGACCAAGACCGGCCATAGTTCAGCAATCGGGAGGGCTTGTCTGACCTCCTATAAATTATTTCAGAGCATAGCCTTCTTTTGTGGATGGACATTCTGAATCCAGTAGTTACCCAAAGACAAGATCAAGATGTGCCTGCGGATAAGATCAGCGCGGTATCTCTCTTCCGGGGCAAGCTTGTTGGCAGGCTGAAAAACTGGAGTTTTAAGCCTTTGTTTTGGGTGCAAGGTTCTTCCCGTTCAGAAGTAATCATAAATATTGAGAGTTGATGGGAATTCAGTTTCATTAGTATCTTTTTTCTTTTTCTTATGGACGTTATTGTTGTCATGTCAAGAACTAGTTGATCACAATAACTCGTGTTATTGGGAGAGAATCAATAATAAATCTTATACTATTCACCAACACGCCCTCAAACGAAAGCCAGTCAACTCATAAGGGCTTTCGTTTGTTCAGGTCTAAATACACGACACCATGTGCTTCACAAACGGAGGTCATCGGGATTCGAACACAAGACCTTTCGATCACATAAGGCTCTGATACCACTGTTGTGGCGGCTGCAAATCATGAGCCGAAATTTGACAAAAGACAAAGAAGAACAAAGAACGCAGGGAAAACAGAGTCTAAAAAATATAGAGATATTTAGAGAATGCTTCAGATGATATTTATTGAATAGAATTCTCACCCTTTATATAAAGGCTTCGCTACAACTGAAAAGAGAGAAACAAGGAGCACGATTCTACACGATTTCCAGCTAACTAATAAAGGAACATTCTAACGGGCAATTCATCAAACAGGTTGTGGGTGAAACTGAAACACCGACTTTATTGGATGCAATTAACTGAACGTGCTACTGCTACTGAAAACAAACTCACACCAAACTCACATCAATTGAATCACACTTCTTCAACAGTTCTTGCCTTTGTAGCAGAACTGATCGGCGCACTTAATAACAGAGCCCTTGGATTGTGCCTCACAACAATTGAATCACACTACTTCAACAGTTTCTCTTTAGCGATCCCAGAACTCCAATCATCGCCAACAGCCCCCTACACAAGCATAACAACAACTACTAATGTTGTGGTCGGAATCTGATGGTTGTGGCGGCAACAACTTCCTACAATTGGAGTCGAAGAAGTTGCCGAATCTCGTTTGGTTTTGAGTGCGGGAACTCAAGAAAGGGTAACCTAGCCACATTTAAGGATGGTGTGAAGGATATGCTTAGGAAGCTCCAAGATTCTGTCTCTACCATCTCCTCCATCTTGTAGGAGGAGATGAACGAATTCTGTGATGGGCCATGCACGTGAGGCCCATGCAGCTTCTGTGACATACGAAGAGAAGGAAACAATTAAGTCATGTAACCCTAGGTGTTTCTCGGAGAATGGGTATTTAAATGCATGTAACTATGTAAGGCTTCGACCACTTTGATCAATCAATAAGAATAGCAGCCGGAGAGCGTTGTTGCTCTCCCGTTGATTAGTCCTGATCCGTCAGGGATACCACGTTAATATCGTGTGTTCTATGCTTCCGTACTTTGTTTATCTCTGATTTTACATGGTGTCTGAGTAAATGAAATATGTCGAATGGCAGCAGCGGTGTTGGAGGTCTTCCGTCGGTGTATTACCTGTCCAACTCGGACGGGCCAGGACAGATGCTTGTCGGCGATGCCCTAACATCCTCCAACTATGGTGAATGGGTCAGGGATATGAAGGACTCATTGATTGCAAAGAATAAGTTCACCTTGGTAGATGGAACCCTAGAAAAGCCTCCAAGTGGTGAAGAGCGTGATGCATGGATTCGTGTGATGCTATGGTAAAGGGATGGCTAAAGACAGCCATGGATAAAGAGATCCGAATCAGCGTGCGGTTTGCTGAAACCTCGGGTGATATCTGGGCGGATCTTTAGAGCCGATTTGGTCAGGGTAACGCAGCTCGAGCTTATGAATTGAGAAGGATGATCAGTCTCCTGCAACAGGAAAAGCATTCTGTATCCGTGTTCTACACAAAGCTGCGGACACTATGGGAAGAAATTCGGTGATAGAGCCCACACAGAGTTGCATTTGCAGCCTATGTACGTGTGGGGTATCGCAGCGGATTCGAGCTCAGCAGGAAAATCAAGACTTTTCGATTTCTTGATGGGTCTCAACACTACAAGAAACTTCACTTTCTGCGACGAACGATTTCGTCGCAGAAAGGCAAAAAATTCGTCGCAGAAACCTTCTGCGACGAATTATTTCGTCGCAAAAAGGTAAAACAGTTCGTCGCCCATACAGCGTCGCAGAAAGTTCTGCGACGAAAAAAATAGCTTCGTTGCAAAAACAATCCATGTCGTCGCTGAAAGTGAACAATTTGCAACGGTAGATTCGTCGCAAGATCACCATTTTGCGACGACGTTTCCGCCGTTGCAGAAAATTCACATATTCTGCGACGAATACTTCGTTGCAGAAAGGTTTATTTGGCGACGGATCAATAGTCGCAGAAGGTTACAAAAGATTTCTTTTTTTTACAGTAATTCAGTATTATTTTCAGGTTAATTTCAGTATAGGTCACAATTCATTTTCGGGTTAATTTCAGTATTGGTCACAATTTTTTTGGGGTTTGTTTTCTGGGTGTTCCTTATTTTATAAACATCAAAGATGCAGCTCGTCAAATCCAAATTCCCAGATTTCCTCCAAATAACTACACTATCAATTCCTCATCGAAAATCCAAATTTGCAAGTCAGAATTCCAAACCTGGAAAAACAGAAACAAAGTCAGATTGCTCGATACAACAACAAATGAAGGAAATTTTTTAGAAAAACAAGATTGGAGAAAGAACAGATCTGGTTTCGTTCTTTCGTTTTTCTCGTCAGAAGAGTAGATCAGGTTCTTCTTCAACCCGCGGCTGTAGCCGATTCGCGCGGCCAGAGACCATCGGCGACCCATCGAACTTCCTTCATCGCGGCTGGAGCAGATCTGGAACCAGACAAGCTTCCTTCACCGCCGTCTTCATCGCGGCTGGAGCAGATCTGGAACCAGACAAGCTTCCTTCACCGCCGTCTTCATCGCGGCTGGAGCAGATCTGGAACCAGTCAAGCTTCCTTCACCGTCGTCTTCTTATTCCCTAGTTCGAAAACAAATCCGAGAAAGAAAATGGTCACAATCCCACTCTTTAACCAGAAAACCTCAAGAAAAACACCCGTGCAGGCCAAATCTTACCCGGATCGTCGCTTTTCCGACCGAGAGGAGTCGATTCGCCGCTGTTAGAGGCCACACCCATGCCGCTGGTCGATCTTCCTCCACCGCCATTGACAATGAAGCTACCGACGATCCCTTTTCTTCTCCCCCACCGTCGATCTTTCCTTCACCGCGGACGAGAGGAGCAGATTCAAGTTGTCGATGATTTGGGTGAGAAGATGAGAGAGGAAAAAAACTAGAAGAGAGAGGCAAAAGAGGGCGGCTAGGGTTTTCTTTACCCTCCGGCCTCCTCTCTTGATATATATACCCATTATGTCTTCCCCTTTACGCAGTACAAAAAAAATAAAAATTAATGGTTCCTGGAAGTTTCGAACAGTGACCTTCTACACAATATACATTGAATCTCCAACATTTAAACCAATCGGCCTACAAGCAAACACTTGTTATCTGTTAGTTTTAATCCCATTTTACCTATTAGTAAATCCTAATAGAAAAAACAAATTAGTCTATAGCCGATTATTTGCTATTTTAGACTATTATATTCCTCTTATGGCTTAGAGATTTGTAACAATTAAGTTGGAATAATTCAGTTCCAAAGAAACGAAAGAAGCATATGTTGGAATAATTAAGTTTCATTAGTAAAATATTGTACGAGTAGGTTACATATAAAATACGTACGGGTATTTTACTTCGTCTCTAAAATAATTTTATGCTTAATAGTACGTCAATAGTCATAATATATAAGATAATTTATTTTAAAAATAAATAAATACAAAAATAATAGTTAAGTTAGCAATTTTATTCATTAAATACGGATATTAAACGTGTTGTACAAGTACGTATTTAGCACGCGAGCCATCAAATGAATGGGAGAAAATAAAATGCCTTGACAATAATACGAATACGAAAGTTTTAAACAATAAAATATGGATGTGTATATATACATGTATTAAATGGAGTATTTACTAATGTATTTACTAACTATGATTCTAACTTTCTATAATATAAAATTTCTTGAAACATTATATGACGACTGAAAAACATCACACAAAGTCTCAAACATTCTGCGACGAAAGCTTATCGTCGCAGAAAGTCTCAAACATTCTGCGACGACAGCTAATCGTCGCAGAAAGTCTCCATCGATTCTGCAACGACAGAGAATCGTTGCAGAAAGTCTCCATCAATTCTGCGACGACAATAACCGTCGCAGAAAGTCTCGAACGTTCTGCGACGACAGACAATTGTCGCAGAAAGTCTCCATCGATTCTGCGACGACAGAGATTCGTCGCAGTAAGTCTCCATCATTTTTGCGACGATAGAAAATCGTTGCAGAAAGTCTCCATACATTATGCGACGAATGATAACCGTCGCAAAAAAATTGAACACAATCTGCGACGAAAAAAGAAAATTCGTCGGAAATTGTACACTTTCTGCGACGAATTTCTTATCGTCGCGATAGAATTCGTCGCAGAATGTGCAGTTTCTTGTAGTGCAATGACATTTTTACAACTGTTCGGACGCAAGGGATTGAGGAGATGTTAGGAGGAACGTGAGGTATCGACATGTATGCGGGAATCTCTAGAGCTCGACAATCGCTTTTCGCCTTTGTCTCTCCAGATTATAAACAGAATAGGGGCCGAATAGAAAACCAGGAAATCGTACAAGGGCAAGTATGAATTTTCAATTTCGAACTATAACAGGGAATGAGATTAAGTAAATTATGTAGCAAGGAGTTTGGAAACTTGGTACAAACCCTTGTTACAGCGAATTTCGGAAACAATACTAGGGGTTGTGAAACCCTTGCTACAGAACCCTTGCCACAAGGTCTTTTTTTTTCTTGTAGTGCAAGCGCTCCCCATCGAGGAACTATGGCCGGTCTTTGTCTCCATCCTCATCCAGTAACAAAGCTTCAAATCTGTTGCTGCAGAATTTGCTGCCGACTTTGCTATTATTATATGCCGCTGTTGTTGGACCTTCTTGTTCGTCTTCTTTACTGTTTCTTTTGCTCTGATCATTTCCGCTGCATTACTAGTAATACTTTTATTGGTACTCGTACCGTTATTATTGGTGTTACTACTGCTGATATTTTGAGTACTACTTTGAGTCTTGCTTCTGCTGGTAATTTTAGTACTACTTTGAAGCAGCAGCAGCCGCTTCCAATTCTCGGCATTCCTCGCTTGATGTTTAGTAAGCTGACCAATATTCCTGCATTGATTCACTAGCTAGGTTTGTAATTAAGATTCACTAATTTCTAGTTTAGTAATTAAGAATAACTAAGAATTAATACATAGAGCAAGGAAGCAGATAGAGTACTTACCAGGGCATAGGGAAGAACCAAAAGTAGTTCTGGTTGTGACGATTCCGACAAGCAAAACATTCGACTTTCCCATCGACGAGATTGAAGACGCCACAATCGTTCCGGTACAAATTGATCGGACCAAAGTCATCGGCGTAATCTAGATCAATAGCCGTAATAGAAAGAAAACGCAAAATAGATGCGGCAACTTGGCCGAAAAGACACTGAGCCAAAATCCACCATTGCTGAACTCTCGCCACTGCGACGTTGTTTTCTATTAAACAACATCGTTTCAGTACCGCGACGGTGTTGATATCTCCCACGATGTCGTTTTCGACTAAACGACACCGTCTAAAATAATTCTTAAAATATTAATTGATTAAACCGGCCATCATTGTTAACACGCCGTCAAACCCTCACTCGGCGCCGTTCTTAAGTAAACAACATCGTTTTCTAGTTCTGCGATGCTGTTGAACTTCGCGATGCCGTTTTAACACTGTCGTTTTAACTATTGCGGCATCGTTTGGCCTACTCGCGGTGTCGTTTCTTTCCTCTTGCGGCATCGTTTTCAACTAAACGACACCGTCCTAAATAGTCATTAAAAGTATTAATTAATTAATCCAGCCATCATGAGTCAAATTCGTGTGTTGACCAACGACCTCATTAGCGTCAAAATGACTCCGTCTGCTTTTCCTTTCGCGACATTGTTTTTACATTTTAAACATTGTCGTTTGCTAATACGGCGGTACCGTTGGGCTTGCTCGCGGTACCGTTGGGCTTGCTCGCGCTACCGTTTTTAATTAAACGACACCGCTAACATAACCAAAAAAATATCAATCCATGGAACCGCCGCCAGTCTGCACTCACATTGGGCTGGGCGAATTTTGGTCACTTACCCATGTGGTTTTTAATTAATCGGTACCGCTTACCAAGGCCTCTCGCGGCATCGTTTTCAAATCCGCGGTACCGTTTTAATTCTCCGCGATGCCGCTTGTCTCCATGCGGTACCGCTTCTCCCCTTCCCACAAGGAATAATAAAAAAATAATAATATTAATAATAATAATAATAATAATAATCAAAACTCCTTTTCCAACACCAATACCAAACGCACGGCCCACCTCTTGCTTCCCGGTAAACGTTGTCGTTTCCAGTGCCGCGGTTCCGCTGAGCCTCCTTGCGGTACCGTTTTAACTCTCCGCGGTGCCGCTTGTCTCTATGCGGTACCGCTTTTCCCCTTCCCATAAGGAATAAATAATAATAATAATAATAATAATAATAATAACTCCTCCAACACCAATACTATGCGCGCGGCCCACATCTTGTTTTCTAGTAAACAGTGTCATTTCCAGTGCCGCGATACCGGTGAGCTCCTTGCTGTACCATTTTTCTGTTTCACGGTATCACTTTAACTCTCCGCAATGCCGCTTGTCTCTATGCGACACCGTTTTTTACCCACGGTATCGAATTAAATGCCGAGACTAATAATGCGACTTTTGATTCCGGCCAAATTAATTTTAGGTGTCAACAAATGCCCCCACAATTTCGTTTATAAGAATTATGAACCAAATTGTTGACACAATTTAACTCACCTGAAATTATCTCCAAAGGAATGAAAAATCAATGTTGGCCGTGAAACAACGTTGTTCTCTTAACAACACTGCTGAATCGATCCGGTTAATAATTGGACAAAGCAAGATTGAGGCCTCGTCCTTATGTAACTTTCCCTGGTCAACCAAATACCATTCTCATTACCCTTGTCCAACGCACGAAAGCCATTTGTCAAAATCCACTCCATGTAGAATTCGAACACCTCATGGCTGCCTGATCATGCAATGTTGTTGTCTTCTTTTTATTTATTATTATTTAAAACCTATTATTCCAAACACGTTGTTACAGCACTGCAAGGGTGTTTAGGAAACGGGACACGCTGCGAATTTTTATTGCGGCCGGTTGTTCAGCCTCGTAGCGTTGTTTCTTCTCACGATTTGAAAAACAACCGCAAGCAAAACCCCGCCAGGCCGCATCGAATTGAATGGCCACATTTTTTTTTCTTTCTTTATTTAAAATCAACGAGGTTGGTCTTCTACTTTATCCTAGCATAGCCCCACAATCCCAACGACGCTGTAGAAAAGAAAAACGACCTCGATACACCGCAGCGCAGCTTTGGCCCGAATGGCCATATTCGTTTTGTCCGTTTACCGCACCATTAAAAACCACTTCGCAACATGGTTTCATTCAAACGATTTTTTTTCTGCTCAGAAACGACGGCGCTCGAGACTGGTCGGCACATAGAGTTGTTTTAGCACGAGGACCATAAAACCACACTGCAACACCCTTTTCCAACATAGATGAAAACGACCGTGATTGGTCTTTAATCCCTTCTTATTTAACCATCGTCGATAAAACAAAGAAGTAAAACATAAGTTCTACTTTGTGGACGTAATGGTTAGTTAAACAACACAATAACCTGCCCAAAATTTACCAATTTCGGTCAAAAGAAAAAAAAATCACATACATAGCATGGCTAACCCCCACTAAACTCCAACGACCATGATCATGTTGGTACAACGCCGTTAGCGTCTACGTAGCTCAGTACTTCACTTATTTGACAATCTGAGATAAAAATCAATAAATTGTCTAGCTAGCAAGACTGCAACATGCACATGCAATATTTCATGACATTCACACGTAACACAATCTTTGAAGCCAATCAGAAGCAAAGTTAACTCGTACCTGTCAGATTCATGCAAGATGGCACTATGAAAGTTGAACGTGGATCCTCCTTCGCGCCAAGGTAGATTTCTTCTATAATGTCGGCAACACTACTTCCTTTCCCACCTAGTTACTCGAATCATCGCCGTTGATCGGCAACCCCTCCAGCAAGGCCGTAATTTCGGCCTTCGCCACCCTCTCTTGAGGTGGCTTACTCAGATTTTGGTGGACCACCTAATGCAAACATTGATGGTCTCACAATCTCGGACAACGAGTTCAAACACGCCTTACCCAACACTTGTGTGCTTGAAACTGCGACGTTGCATGGTCCCCCTTCCATACTCCTAATTTTTTGAGAACCAATGTCTTTGTGGCACAAAATAGCTTCGACAATGTTTCCCCCCACAACGTTGACCATATTGACGCCCACACCATTGGGAAACGGGTGAGTGTCAACAATCATGGCCTCCTTCCTCGGCTCCGGTACCTTGAACCGACTTTTCTCAATTGCATCCTGCACAACGTTGCGAAACACAACACACATCTTAGTTGAATGAGATGCACTGTTGTGCCATTTACAATATCGTTTCCCTTTTAATTTTTCAACTGGCGGGATAGTATGCCCCCCAGTCAACTTAATTTGACCATCTTTGTAAAGCTGGTCGAAAATCAGTTCTGATTTTGAAACATCAAAGGAGTATTTCCTAGTTTGAATTGGAGCACGATTGGGCTTTCCACCTTGTGGTTCCCCATCGGCCTTGGCTAGAGAAGCACACACATATGGCTTCCCCTGCACAATCTCGGCCAAATAAACTTCAACCTCGTCAACATTGCTGCCGACGTTATTCACACCATAGTTTTCAAAATTAGGGAAATATTGTCCACGAGAGCCACTTCTCTTATGTTCTTCTTCATGGAGAAGAGATTCGTATCTAACAGCGCAGGACATCAATTGAAACAGGTCAGAAAACTCCCTATCTTGAAACTTTTTACGAAGTTCAAAATTCAATCCACCATGGGCAAGTTTAACAAACTCGCGTTCTGTCAAGTTCACAAAACAGCGATTCCTTGCATTTTTAAAGTTAGTTAAGAAGTGTTCCACTATTTCTCCTGGCTGTTGGCGCATTCGTGCCAAGTCTGCCATTGTTACTTCTGGCTCAGACCATTAGAACTGGGCATGGAACATTTGTTCCATTTACTGCCAAGTTTGAACCGAATTTGATGGCAAGTTGACGTGCCACGCGAATGCGGGGCCGGTCAACGAGTTGCCAAACAAACGCAACTTCAAGAAATCACTCACATCACCACACTGAACTGTGAACGTCCAACATGCTCGACGGTGGACTGATCCCCAGTCCCCCTGAAGGTGATGAAATCAGGCACGCGAAAACCACGTGGAAAGGGGTAGTATCTATCAACCCAATCCGGATATGGTTTTCGATACACCGGCGGCATCGCTGGTCTAATTCCTAAACCAAACTGATCCGCCAGCATCTGTGCTACTTGATCTCGAATCGCATTAATGTCTTGCCCCCCGAGTTGCCCCCCTTGTGGAATGAATCCACCAGGATTCATGCCAAGCCCGTTTGGAGGAGGCACGTTTTGCAGGTAACCGCGTGGCGGAACATAATCATTGTTGATCGTTCCTCCACCAACACCACCTCTCATCGGAGCCGCGTATGGTCTGGCCTCCAGGATATTTTGTGGACCCCCACCGTGAAACGGCGGTGGTTCAACCCGAGTGTTAGCGGCAGTGCTAGTCTCGCCAAGATTAACTCGCGGAGTTGGTGGGTTCACCACCGGTGTCGACGGAGCTCCTTGTCTTGGCGGACTAATTCGGGCACCATTGTTTGGAAAACCAGTTTCGCTGTTTAGATTGTTTTCACCGTTTAACGGCAAATCCCTAGGTTGCATTACTGGTCTACCCAAAAGCTCCCTGATTTCATTCATATCACGTAGATTTTTATCCACGAAAACATCAAAATCATGTCTGTTTTTAGTCACAACTTCAAAGAGTTGGCCTAAACGCCTATCAACACGAGACTCAAGAGAAAAACGTTGATTTACCTCGCCTTTGAAGCTTGCAAACTCGCCTTTGAAGCCTGCGAACTCATTGTTGAGGCTAGCAAACATGCGACGGTTTTCCTCCATGAAATGGCGGATTGACAAATCCTCAGTCGGCCCAGCTGTGGACGGCGGATTCTCGGAGCCGCCGATGTCTTCAGCACCGATTCCTTGGCCTCCTTCAATGTTGGCCACATGTTCCTCCACGAATCCGGGCGGAACATCCCCTTCCTGATTCCTTCGTCGCGGAGCCATTCGAACACACAGGTCCCACTAGGTGTGCCAATTTGTTTTGTTGGCGAAACTCGCGTGTTCAATGCGCAATGTTTTCAAGTAAACACAAAACACAACGTCAATCACAACCGTCAAATATCCACCGCC